GGCTTGAAAGATCTCATCTATGATGTTCTGAAGCTCCCGTAGCTGACTCGTGCGACTGTGGGACATTTTCTGCCACAAAATAAAATAATAATAATATAATAAAAAGGCAACAAAAATAATGTTGCACTAAGTAAATTCAAGAAAACATTGCTGTACCTGCAGGTTGTCCCATTCTTGTTCCAAGAGGGAGAGGTGGTACTTATCACCCACTGATATCTAGAAAGTAACGTAGCAGACGTTAAATCACGTTGTTTAGATGATCATAAACATTATTGCAAAACCAGAATAAAGAAAAGAAATTTTGAAGGAAAAGAAAGTAGAGACAAGGTTCTTACCAGTTCACTTTTGGCTCGTTCTACTTCTGGGCTTCTTTGCATGGAGCTGTGAAATTTGTTGTGGGCTGTAATCTGGTTGTCTATGGCGCTGGAGTCTTCTCCCCATGGAGCTGTCTCAATGATACGCTAAAAGATGCAAAACAACAGCTCAGTGTTTTTGTTGTGATTTCTCTTTTTCTTTTTTCTTTTTATTTTTTGGACAACAAATTGCTCAACATGACCACATCTGAAGCATTTTCCAAACTCCAGACTCTGACTGTGCTGCTTTGCTCCAATGTAAAATCATTCTTTTCTACTGAGAACCACTATTGTGCAGCACGCATAAATCAAAAGGAATTAGATGGGTAGTGATTTTAGAACAAAAACAATAACAATGACTGTAATAAAGTAATTGTTTTGCTGTGTTCACAGGATTTGTTAAGCTTTTTATCAGGCTATGCAAATGTGGAAAATTGCAGGATATTTCCTTTAATGAGTTTCTGCCTCTAACTCTGTCTTTTCTTTATTTTGCCCTCTAGGTGTCAGCAGATAATCATTAGACTAGTCCTAAGCAGGAAACTATTCCAACTATGCCCTCCTTGTTCGCAGCTCTTCACTTTGATAGGAGTTTTGCCAGTAAACAACCTCAGCCCGTCCCTTTTCTGTACTCTGCAGTCTTTTTTTTCCCACTGAACCTCTCGCAGGGCTTTTGTTCTCTCGCCACTCCCTTTTCCCTCAAGAATTCTTGCCTGCAGCTACAAGCTGGTAACAAGGCCAAACATCTGACTGTAAAAGTTCAACAGAGTCACCATTAAAACTTCTGCAGGATCAATAATGTACATTCGAAGATAGACAACGGGACACTTTTTGTTTAGGTTTTAGTTTGACTACAAACTGCGAAGCATGTGGCAACAATATAAACATGACTGACGAGATTCAGCTGGGCGAGGCTGACGGTGGTGACAGAATAACAGGGTGTGTTTCTGGGAAGGTGGAGCGTTGAGGAGTTTGTGAGCATAGAAGGGCGTTTTCCCATGAAAGTGCTAGAGGTCAAACGAGTTGTCTTGTGCTACAAACTAAGTCAAAGGGGAGTGTAACATATCACACTTCTTTACTCATTTAGCGTCCAAAAAGCTCCCGTGTTGCCGTCACCGCCTCCCTCTACACGTCTGGGTTTTTTTTTTTTTTTTGCCTTTTTCTCTCTGCGAGCTTCCTGAAACCCTCACAGTCTCTACTTCTTTTGTTTTAACCCTCCTGTGTTTCTATTGGTCTCTTTCGCTCTCGGCTCAGGTTCTGGCAGCAAGCCCAGACGGTTTCAGTTACATTAGGGTAGGATGAGTGATCGGGTAAATGCGTTGCCTCCACCTCACTAGCTTGTTGGCTTTGACTCACATGCAGGTACAAATACACAGCCAGGACATAAAAATTAATCATTGTTTGGTGTCTGTGTTATACAACTTCTACTGGTGGTGCTGTCTTTAAATGCTTCACATGAAGATTCTGGTATAAAAATGTATTGTTGCAAGACTGAACATGTTTGCTGAAAAAAATATTTTTTTATTTATTTTGTGTAAAAATATCTTTAAGTCACACAGCACAGGAGCCTTTTTCTAAACATCGTTTCATGCTCCTGAAAGAATTCACCTTTTGTTGGGTGATCCAGGCCATGGCATTGTTAAAGACTCTCTCCCCGTCGCTGCCCACGCTGACTCGCTTCACTCTCAGAGTCCCAAAGCRGGRGAGTTTCTGTTGGGTTGTAGCATGCCACTGCTGAAACTTTTCAACACTGTGGAGATGCACACATAAGGAAAGCGCTCAGTAAATCTTCAAAGCGAAGCACTAATCGTGCTGCTTGAAAGCCCTGTTGGATCCAAAGTCCCATAAATGCACAGTGAAAGGCTTGTGTTTTGTCTTACTTTCTGAAAACGTCGTTTGGTATCCGCATCTCCTGCAGATCTCGGCCACAAAGCATCAGCTTCTCAATTGATTCTGCAGCCAAGCCTAAGCACTTGTCTGCCTCAATGGGGTTGCCTCCCTACAAAACAGAAAGGACACTAATGTCTTTGCATGCCCTCTAAAATAAAATATCCTCCAAAAGAACTTGTTGTCATTTTAAAAGTTAGAATAAACACATGAAGTCAGCTGTATTGAGCAAAATATGCTTTTTACTTACACTGTTGATGATCAGGTTTGCTTTATCCAGGAATTCCTGACATCGGCTTGACAGAAAAAAAGCTTTCTCTTTAATATTTTGGGCACTGCACGAAGAGAAAATAAGATTGTTTTGACTTTTCAAAGATAAAACCTAAAACGGATTGCAAAACACAAATGGTTAATATAGTTAATAGGTTACTCAATTTTATTTTGTTTG